TTGTAGCTTGAACAAAATGGACTCCTGGTAAATGAGATGAGAAATCCATTTAAAAGTGGGGATCAATTCTAGTTAGAAAAGTGTAAACTGCTTTTAGAACAGTTCTAAGTTCAGGATCCTCAGGGACCCCTGGGGTCCAGCCGGTTGGTTCCATGAAGGGCCACTAGATGTCACACAAGGCAAAATGGACCAATAAAGGAAAATCCTTCTTTCATTCCATTAAGTCTCTAATAATGCTTCACCACAGTTTGAAATGTGATCGCATCCGAATCAAACCCATTGAATTCTACAAGGAGAAAATAAAGTGATCATTTGTTGATATCCGTGCGTCATCAGCTCACCGGCGGAGGATACCGCTGCGTCTCCGTCGTGCGTCAGAGCAGACCGGACCAAACGGGTCAATAAGTGCACCAACCGAACCAAGCATTAATGCATTAATTGAGCTCCACAACCAATGAAACGCTCTCGACCTGCGCGCCTCTAGCCGCGCATGACCCCCACCCCACGGAGTGACGCGTCTTGCAGCTGAGAGGTGGCCGCGGTGGCGGTGGAGCTCGGCGGGGAGGAGAGCCGGAGGAGATGCGCAGATCTGCAGGTCTCTAGCGCGGTCGTAAAACAAGCGCGAGACCCGGAGCCATGCCCGGTGTGACCAAGTACAATTTAGTGGATGACGCTCTCGATCTGAGGGTCCCCATGCACAACGAGGAGGTCTTTAATCATGGGGTCTGTTTCGAGGCAAAGGTAAGGACCCCCTGCAACAGATACTGAGGCTGGAGGAGAAGATGCTCAGGGAACAGATATGGCTGAAGATTTTTTCTCACTTTATAATTATCACCACATTGAAATGTTTGTGCCTGTCAGACATTAACCAGGTGTTAAATTTCCAACTGGATTATATTTATTTACTTTTTGAGATTGCTGTTGTTAAAAGCTGATGGTTCAATACCAGAAACACTTTGCAAAACAATCCAACTATTTTCTATACTTTTGTTTCTCTTTTCATGAGTTTTAATAATTTTTATTGTGAAGTCAAGGCTTCAGCTGTTTGCTTTTTTCCCCCATAATGCATTAATTAACATAGAAATAATGTTTATTTTTTTATTTATGTATTATTTATTTATAAGTTTAATTTAGATTAGATTAGATGAGCTTTATTGATCTCACAGCGTAGAAATTCAGTGGTCACATATTGGCACAGTAATTAAAGAAGGTGCAAACAAAGAGGAAAAAGGTGCCCTAAGAATAAACAATATATATATATACAGTATATCAAGATAAATAGGATTAAGGTGCAAGTGTACATGTATCACACACAATGAAAAACCAAAATAAAAATAAGAAAACAAGGGAGTAACACAGAGATTTGAGGTGTCATATGTACAATCCGGATGGCTTATATACAGGTGGATTGACTTTTACATTAAAGTGTAGTAGGTAAGGAGCAACAGTGAGGTAGTTGTATGACTATTATATTCACATATATTGCACAGTCAGCATATTGCACAGAATATTGCATAGTCAATAAATTAAAAAAACTATAATATAGCTGCACAGTGGTTTTTACAGGAGTTATTGTGGTTATAGTGCATTATTATTGAGTCTGATAGCAGCAGGAATAAATGAATTTGAATATAAGACAATAAATAAAAAACAGGGGCGAAGCAAAAGGAAAAAAGATACTACAGAAAAAGAAAAGTGTTTTTTTCAAAAGGAATGAGAAGATGAGAATGCTTATTTATCCCATTCCTTCACAACTACACAAAAAACACAAAAATACTCATACAAATCAAATAAAAAGTATTTTTTTTATCATCTTCATTATATAATGAAAACAATTTCAAACAATTTCCATGATAATAAACACCAATAGGAGCAGGTTTTAAACATAGTCGGTTTCCCGGCTGCTTCATTATTATGGAACCTGTAACAGAAAAAGAAGGTGATCATATTCATTCAAACCTGCTTAATCTGAACCCTGAATTCAAATAGTAAAAAATATAAAATAATAGTTGAACACTGTGAGAAAGATGGAAACGTCTCTTGTTTGAATATAACACTTATCAGGGTTAAATTTATCTGACACTGGTTTATAGTGTCAAAAGTTACCACACACTAGTGTTAAATGTTACGAGGATTGATGGATAGCTGAGGATCATCAGCATAGTAGTGGTATTTCATATTATGCTGCTACACTGTAGCCACCGCTGCCCTGGGGCACGCTGACAGAACAAGGCTTCTGTAAAAAGGCACTATTTGGCACTATTCACCAATGCAAGGCAGAGATCTTGTAGCCTCGTGAGACCATCCTGATCTCGCGAGCTTTCAAGATTTCACTCGCTAATCAGTCTGGAGACTCTCCGTTGAAGAAAATTTGGAGCCGTTCACCAAACGAACGTCCAATCAGCGTTGGCTTTGAGGCGGGTTGAGGTGTGACGCAACGAGAAGCGACACAGTTCAGTCTAAAGAAAATGGCGGCTTCAGCCGATGAAACTAGCGTTAGCGTGGCTATCGAGCAAGTTTTATCGGAATTACAGAGTATTACAGAGCAAAACACTGCTCTGGAGGCTTTTCTCAGAGGAAAAGATGTTTTTGCTCTTCTCCCTACTGGTTTTGGCAAGAGTAGCCTGGCTGTTATTACGTCATATGCTTCGTTGATCTGATTGGTTTATTTGGCCCGTCTATCACCAACATAGGCCAATCAGCTAACCAGTATTTTCGCCCCTGCCCAAAATTACTTCAACCGAAGGTTTCCAGATGGATAAATGTGGACCAAATCCATCTGGTGGAGTCAGGTTAGGAATCTTGCCTGAGGACACGGCATTTGGGAAAGTCTAGACTGCCGTTAAATAAAGTTATTTATCTGGAAACCTGTTTTAACATCCTGAAAAGATAAAACATGTTTACATGTAAATATCCAGTTATATAAAGGCCTTTCAGCCACTTATTAATAGATGTATGTTAATGTTAGAACATGATAGAATAGAATAGAATAGAATAGAATAGAATAGAATAGAATAGACGAGGAATTTATTTCAGACAATTTCACAAATAACAATAAATTAATCAGCCAAATATACACAAAAAAGACTAGTAAACAACAACCAAACAAAACATCAATTTCCAAACTTACTAAATTCACCTGAACATAAATAAAAACAAAACCCTCCACCAAATACACCTGTTGGTATATACAGCCAGAGAACTAACATTGATTCATGTAAATTGTCTCAAAAATGGGTCTGATGAAGTAAAACTTATTATTCATACACCCTCTCCCTCTAATTGAACCTAATTTAACTTAAAGTAGAGTAACCTTCCCGTTAAGCGTGTTTTTTTTTGTTTTTCTAATATTCAAAAACCTGTATGTGTAACTTTAAACTATGTTAAGTAAAAAAAGAAAAAGTAGGTAAATTATTTTTTAATATATATATTGAATTTGCTTGCACCCAGCCTTGAAAAAGAACAGGAAAATTTATTTATTAAAATCTGGACTTTTATCGGTCTGGCTAAGAAAGTTTTTTTGAATATAATTTAGAAGGAAAATTGGCACGAATAATGTGACACAAACGTAAAGTAATCCCTAAACTCTTCTGTCTTGCAGTACATAGGCAGCTTGGAGGTGGGTCGCCCAGGCAGCCGCATGGAGATAGTCGCAGCAATGAGGAGAATCAGAGTAAGAATATTTGCCTTTTGTTGACAAAGACACTGTATTCAAAACCCGCTGAAAATACCTGATCTGAATCTTTAACAAGCTGTCAATCATTGACGTCTTTGAACGGATCCCAGCAGCATGCTCTGATGTTTTAGGACGCAACCGCTTCACATTCTCTTTACCCACAGATCTGTCGATGCACAGCTCAACATCGGTCAGATTCAGTGGGTTGTCACAAGCGGTTAAGATCTTATGACGAGATAAGAAGAAAAAACAAACAAACTGAAAATTCTCCTGCATAAGACGTGGCTGCCAAACACGAAGCACTGCAGAGGCACACAGCTGCACAGAGAGCAGAGGATTTAGCCGCCTGTCAGCTGTTATATCTAATCTAACAGCCAAGTTGTTGTGCCACCCAGAGGTCAGCTTCATGCACACCCAGAAAAAAAAAAAACTTAATCCAGATCCGGTACCAGCAGACCACTGGTAATGGCCATTTTATTCTACTTCTAAACATTTACTGCAGCAGTGTCTTGCACTTGACTTATTGTTTTTTTGTGTTCTTACGACTCTGCAGAGACATTATTAGTATAGTGCAGAAGATTTAATAAGAGACATGCTCGATATAGCTGCTCAAACAAAACGGGATAATACAGGAAGCCCCACATTGCTCAGCATAATCCAGGCACTCAAGAGCTTTCTGGCTCAACATGCATTTTCCATCTGTGTGGAAAAGAGCATTTTATTTTACTTTTTTTATTAAATGCTTGGATTTGGTGCCTTCTTTTGTAAAGCAAACAAAGAAACATGTGAAAAAAGATTCTCCAAAATGACAAAAATGTGATAACTCAAAGCTTGCCTATGAAAGAAGCAGTGTTGCAGCTATGATTCTCTCACTCTGCACGCACCAAGATCACACAGACTGAATATTCAAAAGGTGAGGTGTCCTTAAAACTCCCACAGGAGGACTGAAGCCGAGCCGCCTCATCTTGAGGCGGAACGGTCCTTGTGAATTGGTTTCAGGCAGATGTGCGTGAAAACGTGAACACTCCCTCTGTTCCACTTCATCTCCCTCTGACAGCACTGTGTTGTGAGATGGATGGTCCTCCTGGCCCAGTTTATGGGGAACAACGGACACGGACTCGCACGCACCCCATGTCCTTCACCTGCATGTATAGAACCCTGGATGCTTGTTGAAACTCCCACACAGCTACATGATGGATTAACTGGATGAGAGCACATGTCACAAACACAGGTTGACGGTTTATAGACAGAAAAATTCCAGTTTTCTGGTTTTCTTTTTTTTTTACTCATAGAACACCTTCACCTGGTGTTCAGCAAACAATCATCTGTCATGAACTGAGGACAGATGGACCCAGTATTCAAGGAGAGACAGTCAGTAGGAAAGTTCAAAAGGTTTATTAAATGAAAAAACTAAACTAAACCGCCCAATCTCAGATACTCTGTAGTGGGAGAAACACAGGTAAGTGACCATGATCATCTGACAGAAGATGATTATCTGAGTTGGTCACTTACCTGGTTTAACAGTCCAGTCCAAGATGTCCCCAGCAGTCCCAGAGGTCATGCAGGAAAGCTGATCCTGGAAGGGATCCAGAACAGACAGAACAGGATCCAGATCAGGCAGGAACAGACAGGTGGCAGGATCCAGGCTTCCAGACATCATACAGTAGAGCTCCTAGGCGGGTTCAGAGTCTGAGAGAGTTCCGAAGCATGACCAGACGGTCACGCACAGGAGCAGACAGGATCAGGTGCAGATGAGCAGGCTCAGAGGAAGAGGGTAGCCAAGACAGGACGTGGAACCAGAACTTGATGCAGGACTTTAAACTGGTCTCCTCCCTGGAGCCAGGCTTACAGAGATAAAAACTGAACCTCCCCACATATAGAGCCAAAAATCCAGAGGACTCCGTGGGGGAGGAACAGTGGACCATCAGGAGACGAGACAAACACAAAACCCTCTTTCCACTGGCTGCCAGGATCCAGGACATGAACCAAGGCAAAAACTCAGACTAACAGAAAGACAAGTAATGATCTGGCCCTGAATGCTCAGGCTGAACTGAATATAAACCAGAGGAAACGGGTCAGAGGAATAAATTATAATAGAGGCAGGGAGGGAAAACGACAGGTGAAAGGAATGACTAATTAAGGGAGAGCAAACAGGCCAGAACATGACATCATCTCTGTTTTTCTACCACATTCATGTTAATAAAAGATTACCTAAAGCCAGGATGCTTTAGAGAGAAAGGTTGATATAATTTTTAACTAGGAGGGTTTCCTATAGATTTTTTTACCCGCATTTTTAAAAATGCAACATATGTTGACCTTACTTTATAAAACAATGTATGAATTTTTAATAAATTGCCTGAATCCTAACTGCATACATCTAATTATTGGAATTTGATGTGTGAAGACACATTGTTAGTTTTGCCCTTGTGCTATACATTAGCTGTGGAAAACAGAGCAGAGCTCCTCTCTGCTTGTCTTTGCTCTGACTGCATGCAGGGCTTCCAGGACGAGGCAGCTGGCTGCATGTTTTATGAGACCGAAGCAGCAATATGATTGCTGCTTTCATGTAAAGTTGCTACAACTTGACAACGGCACAGAAAAACGTCACTAGATATGTTTCTAGTTGCTTTTCTAAAAAATAAAAGTTTCTAGAGGGCCTGGATCCCAAAATATAACAACAAAAGTGTTACTGTAAGTTGCCAGCATATAGCAAAGAGCTTGAATACTGGGGATTTGTTCTTGTAGGGAATTGGCTAATACCTGCACTTGTTCGCTGATTCAGTAGTGCATTGGTTTCCAATCCACCCACCAACATAGAAACTAAATGTTACGCAGTTAATTGCGTAACATTTAGTTTGAGGTCAGTGAATTTATTTTAACTTTGCAACATAATTTAACATTGCAATCATATTTTTTTGTGTGTTTAAATACTTCTTAAATGGGCCATTAACTCAGTTTAAAGGAATAGTACACCCAAAACATGATTAGCCTTCATTTTCTACTCACCCCCATGCTGAACAACACNCAAAAAAGTACTCCAGAGTGTTGTTCAGCATGGGGGTGAGTAGAAAATGAAGGCTAATCATGTTTTGGGTGTACTATTCCTTTAATTCTACCATGAAACCCCTGTATTTACACTGTTCCACCCCCACTTCTCTATTGCTGCTCCCCTCCATTTTCTATTATTGATTATATTTAGTTTAAATTGTCAATAAATGTTTATTTTTTGATTAATTTGAGACTTGTGTGACATTTGTTTATTTATAACTGTGCTACTCATATCATGAAAATATCTCCAAGAATCAGGGAACGGTCAATGTCAAAATTATTGGCCTTCAAAAACCTGTATAGGCTGATCTCTATCAGATGTACACATTTTGAAATGCTAAAACTCTACTGCTCAGTATCACACATTGTAAAGCAGATGGAAAAAATGCTCTTCTTTCATCATTCTTAGTTTTTTTTTTTTTATGATGGATCTAAGCCATTGGCCTTTGAATTCAGATCCCTTAATTGAATCCAGTGCAGCTTAATTGCTTTCAGAAGTCATCTAATAAGTAACAAAATTGTGCTTCATTTAATTCAAAAATCTCCTTTTCTCTTTACAATGATATAAAAAATACATAAGTAAAGAAGAATTATAAAACAGCACCCGCAAAGACTCTGAAACAACTGTGAACAACTGTGTGTAGAAAAATAAAAGCAGAATGAGTTGAAAGCACTGAAAATGTTAACGTATTTCATATTCATTAAGTTTAAACGCCAGTAACTCACTCCGGTTGCATACAAAGTTTTCTGAATGTTTTCATGTTTTAAGCTTTGTTTTGGCTCAGTTTCTTAGTAAATATAGCCCTATGAGTATATATAAGAAAGGAGGTAGGAGGGTAAAGGTTGCTCCAAATGCAGATCGATCCCCAATTGTCTAGTATAAACAAAGCTTAAACATAGAAAAAGCCTACTGTGGCTAAGCCAGTTAGCACATTCCAGTAAAGTGTGGAAATAATGAAGGAAGGTTTAAGATCCAAAATGAAAAATACTAAAAAAGTATTAGATTCTGACTGGAACAGCACTGGGAATGCATTATGAATGTTGGTTTTCACTGAAGCTGGAGCTAAAGGTATTCAGATGTGGTGAGTAAATGTCCTTATTAATACTGATACTAGTGATAGCAATGCTACACTGAAAAATGATTTAAAATTGAGTCAAAATTTCTTAAAATAAGTGTGTTAACACTTAATTTGAGTTAGATAAGGTGATCGGTAATGACATGAGTATTGCACAATAATTATTTGATTCTGAGCAGCAGTGTAAATTGTAAATACTGTTGATTCTATATAATGTCAACCTTATTTTATTTTATTCTTATATCTCATTTTATACTTTTTATATGGAAAAGGTGTCATTTGTCTGTGTGGGTAGTAATTTTACTGATTTTACTTATTTTATTACTATATTATATTGTTGTCCTATTATACTTACAATCGTATTCTTCTCTCTTCTATAAATGCAAGAGAGAATTTCCTCCAAGAGTAAATCAAATAATTTAGATTCAGATTTTTACCCTAACATAAGATTAGATATTATACATTTGAAATAAGAGTCTGCAGTTCTTTTTCTCTTATTTTAAATGTAAATGATTTCATTTCGATGGTAAAGTGTCTCACTTATCTGTTCAATTAAAGAAAAAGAATGCACTTATTTTAAGAGAATTTGACTTACTTAGACTTAAATTTTTGCAGTGTAATTTAGTCTCTATAGTCTAAATACAAACACATTGACAGACAGACAGACAGACAGACAGACAGACAGACAGACAGACAGACTGCCAGCAGATGGAACCATTTCTGTTTCCTTCAGCTCATCTGAATAGAATTCCAGCGCAGGTGGAATTCTATTCAGGCTCAAAATGCCTGACAAAAAAAAAAAAAAATCGCTTCATGTTTATAACCTTATTTTATAATCAAAAGGTTTTTTGGTCTTTTTGTAGGCATCTAACATAACTATGCACATTTAAAGAAGTAATCTCTAAAACCATCAATCCAGCTTCAGGAGATCAAGCTTTCAATCGGCAAGACATTTTGCCAAATAACATAGCATCAAAGAGCATCAAATAAAAAAACAAATCATTAGAGAACAATGCTAAGAAATTCTTTTAAAGTTTAATATATTCCTACATTTTGTTGGTTGAAATTAGGAGTACTCAGTGTGGAGGGCCTAAAGAGCCACACGACCTTTCACAGGCTTTGGAACCCTGGTATAACAAAACTGGACACCTATGAAAGCATAGCTATCAACTGAAAAAGACAGGGAGCATTAATCCAAGAAGCAGCACTAAGCCTGACTAGAGGGGGAATCCTGTGATCCACAACCTTGTCGATGGGACGGTTTTTAGGATGATATGCAAGAAGAAAGCCAAAAAGATTTAAGATTGCCTTTAGGCAAACTTTAAGCAGTATAACCCCAAATATTGAGCTAGAGCAGCAATGGAGGAGTCTACTTTTAAGCAGTCATGGTCATCTGGACATACCGTCCTGCTTGTTTTATATGAGTCTGCTCCAGCACACCCGGATCAAATGATTAGATGACCTGCTCAGCAGCCATTAAGGGCTGCAGAGGCAAGATAATCAGGCTGTTATTTAAATTAGGTGTCTGTAGGCCATGAAAATCCTAAAACATGCAGTCTAAATGCACGCCTAAATCCAGTAAAGAATATGTGGCCAGAGCTTTGATGTTCAAAGGTGCTCTTCATCTAATCTTTCTGATCTTGAGCTGAATGTGTAGATCCTCAAAGATGGTGGACACATACCCCCAGAACTTTCAGTATGTATGCAGACTTTTTAGATTTTTTATTCCTTTATTTGTCATTATTTTTTAATATTTATGTCTTTTTGTTGGTCTGTGACATGAAGAAAGAATCCTGACAAAATACTCTGATGTCTGCTGTGGTAACATCACCAAAAAGGTTGCAAGGCCTCATTAGAGCCAGCTCTAGAGTTGTTATTTTTTACTAAAATGAAAGCAGAGATGAGAGAGAATATCTTTGTGTGTCATGCAGAGAGGAAGAGGATGTTTGCCCTCTGATTTTACAGAAATTCCTCTGATCAGTTAATCATCTGAAGTTGGACTTGATTTTGTTTTTTTCTCACTACTTCTATTAGATTGGAGAAATGTAGTGAAAGCGGAATATCTGGTATTAATCATGCAGAGGGATAAAAGTGTCCCACACATGGCTGCCTCCCTCTGGCAAGGCAGCCTTTGAAACCTTCAACATCTACCAGAAACAGAAACTGACAGTTCCTCCATTTTCTCCCCAGTGGAGAAGATAAAAATAATCCCCCAGCAGCGTGGTCCCTTCTCTTTTTTATTTAGTTTGTAAAGGGCGATTCCTCTCAGCAGAAATATTCAGTCCACAAAGTTAATGACTTTTCTTTTTTCCAGTATGAGTTCAAGCTGAAGAACATAAAGAAAAAGAAGGTGAACATCCTTGTATCCACTGACTATGTCAAAGTGATCCTGCGGAAAAAGAAGAAGGTAAGACACAGGGAAATAGTTGATCAGGTTTCCAAGAAGTAATTTGGTCTCTTTTTTTAATAATTTTGTATGTTTGGTTTTGTGTTGCAAAAGAGAAAGGGCTGGTCATGGGACGAGAGCTCCATGTTGCTGACACAGGACCCCATATACAGGTGGGTAAAGGAAGATATCTGATCACCCTTTCAGAAAAAATACAACAAATTTCACATATAAAAAATCACATGTGAAACCAATGTAACGTATTCTGATTAACTAACAGGAGCATGTCAAAATTCAAATGCAAAAATAACTGACTCAGCTGTGATTTATGTTTTTCACATGTAATAAAACTGTCCCTCAAGCAGGAATCATATTTAAAGACGTCTGTATAACATGTTATTTCCACGTTTTTTTCATGCAATACACATGTGCATTAAATCACATGCTTTAAATGAGAATCACATGGGATTCCCATGTTTTTTGTTCTTTTTACATGCAATGCACAGGTGCCTTATATGGTGAATTACATGTGCTTAAAATAGGACTTAGGTGTAAAAAAGGTATCACGTGCAATTCACATGTGATACACATTTGCCTTAAATCACGTGCTTTAAATGGGAATCACATGGGATTCCCATGTTTTTTGTTCTTTTTACATGCGATGCACAGGTGCCTCAAATGGTAAATCACATGTGCTTTAAATGGGAATTAGGTGTAAAAGAGGTATCACGTGCAATTCACATGTGATACACATGTGCCTCAAATAATAATCACATGTGATTTAAATGGGAATCACGTTTTTGCACATTTGATTCCCATGTTTTTC